CGTATGGGTAAAGCACGCGCTATTTTCTTTTATAAAAAATAAAATTCTAAACCAATACACTAATTTTATGTTTGAGCAGCATGGAGGGAGGAAAAAAATTTTTTTTTTCTATTCTCTTTCATTTTCCTCTTATTTTTTTTATTTAAATAAATAATTAAATTAAAAAGATAAAATCAAGAGAATTTATTTATTTTTTTCAATTCAAATATATCATAATATTTTTTTAATGATAATACTAAGATTCTATTTAGGTTAAATGCTAAATTTAGTCCCTCAACTTTTTAAAATGAATATTTTTGATCTCTTAACAATTTTTTACATTTTTTTGATCCCTTGACTCTAAAAATTGCACAATTTTGGTCCCTCCGTCAATTAAGTATGATGTGGCAGTTAAATAATTTTATGTGGCATTATTTTTTAATTTTTTTGATGATGTGGCACTAATATATATTATAATTATGTTATATAAATAAATAAAAATGCCACATAAGTTAATATACATATTTTAATTAAAAACATATAAAATTACTTTATTACCCTCGTCCTCACCCTCACCTTCCCAGTCCCTCTTCTTCCTCTTCTTTTTCTCTCCTTCTTTCTTTCGGGTTCGGTGGAAACCCAGCCTTGCTGGGTTCGTCGAACCGAACTTTGCTAGGTTCAGTTGAAACCCAGCAAGGCTGGGTTCGGTGGAAACCCAGCCTTGCTAGGTTCGCCGGAACCCAACAGATCTGGGTTTCGACGAACCCAACAAGGCTGGGTTCCGTCAAACCCAGCTTTGCTGGGTTCGGTTGAAACCCAGCAAGGCTGGGTTCGGTGGAAACCCAACCTTGCTGGGTTCACGACCAGCCAAGGCTGGGTTCGTCGGAACCCAGCAGATCTGCTGGGTCTTCAACCGAACCTAGCTTTGCTGGGAAAGCTTGGTTCTTGTTTCTTCGTTCTTCTTTCGATTTCCATTTGCAATTGTTAATATATTTGCAGATTGATTTATAATTTGATTGCATTTTTGTTGGAATTTGATTAAAGTTTGATTGTATTTTTGTTGAAATTTGATTTGAGTTTGATTGGTATTGTTTATTGAAGGGTTATTTTGATTTGGTAAGATTTGTCAGGTTTGAGGTTTCAATGAAACCTAGCAGCTCAATAGCTCAAGTTTCCCCGAGAAAAGAGAAGAAGAAGAAATTGGTGGGTTAAGATTGGTTCTATAGATGGAGTGGAGATGAGAGAGCATTCACGGAAGAAGAAGAAATGGGTTAAGATCGATTTTGCAGATGGAGTGGAGATGAGAGAGCATTCAGAGAATAAGAAGAAATGGGTTAAGATCGATTTTGCAGATGGAGTGGAGATTAGAGAGCATTCAGAGAATAAGAAGAAATGGGTTAAGATCGATTTTGTAGAGGATGAAGACGAGAAATCAGTTTGCAGGTGACTGGAATCTATTGGAGGATGAATATGAAGAAGATGACATGTCATCAAAAAAGAAAGTCCAAATAAGCATCTTTTTAAGTTGTGTTTGCCATGTCATCAAAAAAAATATAAAAAATGCCATGTGGTAGAGTTAACGACTCAAATTAACAGAAGGATTAACGGAGTGCATTTTGTATAGTTGAGGGATCAAAAAAGTACAAAAAATTGTTGAGGGACCAAAAATGTGCAACTCACTAAAGTTAAGGGACCAAATTTAGCATTTAACCTTCTATTTATTAGGTTTGTAATTATTAGTTTTTTATTTTAATTTTAAGATTTTAAAATTTTTAATAATAAAAATTAAAAATTTGAAATTACAATCATAATAAATAGAATTTAAATAAAAAAAATTATTATTCTTAAATAAATTTAAATAAAAAATGTACTATTCTATTATGAAGGAGTGCTCTTAAATTGTGTTCTAAATATGTACTACATCTACTCTAAAGTAATTATTGTATTTTTATTTTAAATTCATACTAAATTTATTTTTAATTTTATTTTTAAAATAAATAAATATTTTTTTAGTTTAACTATATTATTATTCTTTTACTTTGATCATTATTCTATTAAATTTTTTTTATTAAAAATATAACTAAACACGTATGTTTCTCTAAAACAATGTAAAAACTCAACCCTATTTTATTAAAAAAATCATTAATGAAGAGTAAATAAAAGTACAAGGTTGGTTACCGAACCTATTATAAACATAAAAACAAGGTCTAGAGATCCGAAAGACAGGTCAAAATCTCATGGAACATTCTAAGCAAGATCAAAATTAAATCTAACAAAAGCCGCGTCAACTACGCTTACGGGCCGCTACGCTTACGGGCCGCGACGCTATCGAAGCATGTCTTTTTAGAAAACATAATTAATAAAACGATACGGCTATAATGAGTAAAATTATAAATTTATGCTGTATTTTTTAAAAAAATTACTCTTTTGATATTTAAAAATCACATAAAATTTTAACTAATTTAAAATTATAGTACATCAGATCATATAAATTAAGAAATTCTCTTAACATTTATTTTTTCATTTATAAAATTTAAAATTAAAATTTTATTTAAAAATATTAAACTTTTTTCACTTGAATCAATTGATTGTTGGTAAGTTTATATAGCATTGTAATTAACTTCTTTTGTAGCCTAAATATTACCGTTTCTCTAACAATGAAATCTGAATAATTTTCACCAAAAAGATAAAAATAAAAAAAAAATTTACTATAACTTTAAAGAAAGATCAATTTCATTCTTTTTTTTTTTTTGGGATCATTTCTACTATCAAATTACATTCTAAAAAAGATTGAATAGGACAGACATTAGATTAGTGTAAACCTTACAACCATAATAAAAAAGATGTTTAGGCCACAAAAGAAGCCGCCCAGATTGTCGTCTCCCTTATTCTACATAAAAAAACAAATTTTCCTTTCTTTACCCAAAAATGAAGAAGATTCGGATATGAAAATTCAATCACTTTCCTGGAAGAAAACTCAGGCTCTAATACCCAGAGGTATCTAAGCTCCTTGACATATATAAACAGCTAGTCATTTCTCGATACTTCAATACTTCTTCCTTCTCTTTCAACCCAAGGAACATGACAGCCCCTAGTCTCCATGACCCAATCTAACAAAACAAGCCACCACTGTAACGAGGAGCACCAGCACCATCAGAACCACCAACACTGTCCGTATTCATGTCCAGTCTTTATTATAAATCCTAATGCTTCTTATACCATTATGAATATTCCTCATTGTTCAACCCCGAATTTAACGCATGCTTGTGAGGCCAACGCTGAACCACTACCAATTCTCTCGAATGTCTACAATGCTTACATGCCCCATTGCTCGAACACCTTGGGCTCCTTTGCAGAGAGGATCAAGGTGCATACAGATACCATAAGGCTAGTCCCTGATGACAAGAGTCCAGGATCCCAAAAGCATTCTTTAGCCTTTTCGATGCTCTTGAACGTGGCAGGTATATATATATTCATCGAGCTTGCTCTTTCTGTTTTTGTTTTATGCGGAAAGTTCCTTCCTGCATAGTTTTTAGGCTCGAAGATGCTTCAATATTTTCCAGTTAAAACAAATTAACACTTAATAAACAAAGTTGAGATAATTTGTCATTTTAAAAAAATTATGTTTTGGAGAAATCGACATAAAATAATTTTCACTAGTAATTTACTCCATAAGAAGGCTCTGTTAGCAAATTCGAGACCGGATTGGTCTGGGATTACACCTGGTTCAATTTGATGTTTTGTTTTTTGAAATAAAAGAATTGAAATAAACTATGAGATAAGAATTATTAATTTGTAACAAAAATTGAAGTAACTCAAATATTTCTAGCTTTATTTTATAAATTTATACGACTCCATTTTTTGTTTAAAAATGACAATCGAAAATTTTAATAAATGTTCCAAAACAAACATGTTAAAATACAAAAATTAAAAGAAAAAAATTGAGTGATATGATACTATAATAAACTTTTTTCCCATAATAAAATTTGTTTTTTGCTTAAAAAAAAGCTAATAATTTTTATCTTAAATTTTACATAATATGATAATTTTAACTAAAAATAATTTTAATAAGAATCTGATAATATTATTTTATATATCTATTAATTTAATATATATCATATTGTATAGTTGAGAAAATGACGGGATGTCGTGCGTGTAGCATCACCACTATCTGCACCCAATTTTGGAAAGAGTGAATCTTGTCATACATGATTTCATAATTTTATTTAAAAAAAAAAAAAGAATTTAGTTTTACTTTTCAAAAATTTGAAGTCATACCATGCCGTAACTTAATTTTTACATTGATGACATAGTTTCTTCTTCCGGCCCTAGTTTGCATGCAGTATATATATTGATGAGTTATTTTTCATTGCTTCCTCTTGACAGCTTCACCATACTTTACGTTGCCAAGGAAGAAGCCAACTGTACCTTCAAGCCTGTGGGTTCTGTCATTCAAGAACCGAAAAGATTTCAGTTCCAGAAAGGATGGGCTCAGAAATTCGATCAGCCTGAAGGTGGCATAAACCTCAGCTTATTTAAATCGGATGAAATTTTTAAACGTGAAGGGGATGTTTACCCACTTGTTATCTCTGCAGAAATATGTTTGCCATCTTCTTGGTCAGTGCCTCCAGCTATGGGGACTTCTCATGGACAAATTACTCAAGCTGTCCTAGAGAAAATAAAGAGGGCCATTTTCAAGTGAAAGTAATGAGCCCGAAATCATGGTGGCATAAGATAAGTACTAATTATGAGTCAAGGTATGACACAGCGGATACAGATGTTCCTTTGAAGAAAAGAAAGGTGAGAATTTGATCATAACCACTTTCATAAACGGTTTAATTAGTTCTTAATAATTAATTTTGTCCTATAAATTGAGCCCTTTATTCATTCAATTCCATGGGTAACATGAACAGAAATCAAAGCCAGCTGGGGACGAAGCTTGTAACACTGGCTTTAGAACAAAACGTATTAATTAACAGTAACTTGAAGGGTGCAAAATTGCAAATTTCATTTTCAACAACCTCGGACCAAATAATATTATAAAATACATGAACATAGGTCCTGGTGCTGGTGGTAGAAATGAAGGCAAGAAAGCTGGAAGTATCAACGACAGTAGGGGATATGTTAGTTTCACATCATAGTTGTTAGACGTATTCTCTTAAAAATCCATGTATTTATACTTTTCACATACATGCTTACAGACTTATATACTTTATAAATTATTAATGTGTACGGGATAACATTTTATATAATATATAGATATAGATTCTCCTCATTCTTTTTTTTTTTTCCATTTTTAGCTTGACTTTCCAATCCCCATTGGCAATTTAAAGTTTAATGGTTT